CACAGCAACTTCCAACTCCTGGGCTCAAGCGAGTCTCCTGCCTCAGCCTCCCAAGTAGCTGGGACCACAGGCGCCTGCCACGCCTGGCTATTTTTTGGTTGCAGCAGTCATTGTTGTTTTGGCAGGCCCAGGCTGGATTCGAACCCACCACCTTAGGTGTATGTGGCTGACGCCTTAGCCACTTGAGCCATAGGCACTGAGCCTACTGCAGCTTCTAAAGAGATCTCATTTGGGGTCTAATTCAATGATATGGCAAGGTGGCCTTAAAAGCTCATCTTATCCGTCAAGCATTGGAGCAGGCCATAGGGGGAAAAAAAGTTCATCTTATCCTGATTCACATTAATACAGGCCTAAGGCACAAAAGATGAAAAGAAATACCTATATTCCTCTCAGAGTTTCTGAGTCTGAGTGACTCTTATTGTCCCCTCAGCTGGTCCGTCACACCACTCATGTACCCAGCCTCCTTCTTCTTCTCTGTGCCGAGCACGGGCTATGTGGTGCTCATCTGCATCAACCTCTTCATTGGCTTCAATGGCAGCATGGCCACCTTTGTGCTTGAACTGTTTTCTGATCAGGTGGGTCATCATGAGTCTGGGGCTCTGGCTGGCTTGGGATATTGGCCTCATCCTCTGACCTGTCTCCCCCTTTTGGCCCTTGAACAGAGTCTGCAGGACATGAACCGGATCCTCAAACGAGTCTTACTAATTTTCCCCCACTTCTGCCTGGGCCGAGGGCTCATTGACATGGTGCAGAACCAGGCCATGGCTGATGTCCTTGAACACTTGGGTGAGAACTTCCTGTCAGGTACAGCTATAGCTGCAGACAGCTAACACCCTTGGAAGTACCATCCTCAAGTATTATATAGGGTGGAGACAAACAGTTCCTAAGGGATTTTTTTTTTTTTTTTTTTGGTTTTGTGTTTAGAGACAGAGTCTCACTTTGTCGCCCTCAGTAGAGTACTATGGCATCACAGCTCACAGCAACATCCAGCTCTTGGGCTGAGGCGATTATCTTGCCTCAGCATCCCAAGTAGCTGGGACTACAGGTGCCTGCCACAACACCCAGCTATTTTTTTGTTGCAATTTGGCCAGGGTTGAGTTCGAACCCGCCACCCTCAGTGTATGGGGCTAGTGCCCTACTCACTGAGCCACAGGCACTGCCCCAACTCCAGAGGGATTTTATCTGGCTCCAAAGTTGAACTAAGTTAAAGGTACAATAAAGCAGCCACAAGAACTAATTCTATCTTGGGTCACATCATAAGAGGACTAAGTCTATACATAAGAGAAGTGGTGATACCTCTGCTTTCTATGCCAATTAGATTCCAGTTGAGTGGCCTATCTAATTCTTGTTCCTTTCTCATAAGAATCTTGTTGACCTGGCTTGGTGCCTGTAGCTCAGCGGCTAGGGCGCCAGACACATACACCAGAGGTGGCTGGTTCAAACCCAGCTCAGGTCTGCCAAACAACAATGACAACTACAACCAAAAAATAGCCAGGCATTGTGTGTGGGGGGTGCCTGTAGTCCCAGCTACTTGGGAGGCTGAGGCAAGAGAATCATTTAAGCTCAAGAGTTTGAGGTTGCTGTGAGCTTTGACACCAGGGCACTCTTCTGAGGGTGACATAGTGAGACTCTGTCTCAAAATAAACAAATGAATAAATAAATGAAAGAATCTGGGTGACCTGGATGGAGAGGGGGATAGAAACCAAGCCTCCTCAAGGACCTCCTTTCTGTCCCCACAGGAGACAGGCAATTCCAGTCACCCCTACGCTGGGAGGTTGTCGGCAAGAACCTCTTGGCCATGGCGGTACAGGGGCCCCTCTTCTTCTTCTTCACACTTCTGCTGCAGTACCGCAACCATCTCAGGCCACAGTTAGTGGAAAGCAAGGGAAGGGTGGTAGGGGCCAATGACCTACTTTGGGCCCACTTATGTCTCTGTCCCCAGACCCAAGCTAAGGTCACTCCCACCCCTGGGAGAGGAAGATGAGGATGTGGCCCATGAGCGAGAGCGGGTGGTCCAAGGGGCCACACAGGGGGACTTGTTGGTGCTGAGGGACTTGACCAAGGTAGGTGTAGCTGACTAGAGCCTTGGTGGGGGGCTCCCACTGGCCCACCTACCTTTCTCAGGGACCTGAACCCCTCCCAGGTATACCGTGGGCAGAAGATGCCTGCTGTTGACCGCCTATGCCTGGGGATCCCCTCTGGTGAGGTGAGTCCAGGGTGGAGGTCTGGTGTAGGGGCAAGAAGAGAATGCCCAACTGCCCACACCACCACTCTTTACTGAGCATCTACATGCACTTACTGTCCTTTATTCAGTAACTACTGTGCATCTACCACCTTTTATTGAGCACTTGGTGCCAATAATTGAAGCCCTAATTTGAGCATACAAACTCATTGAGCATTTATTACTGCATGTTGATATTTATTGAAAACCCACTGTGCTCATCAAAGAGGTGTATTGAATGCCAGCTTTCTGCAGTTGGCTTTTATCAAGCACCAACAGTATTCAGTCCCTATTGTACACATACCTATATCAAGCACTTGCTCACAGTCAACATTTATTAGGCACTGCTTTGCACCAGTTCACATTCAGACACCTATTAAGTGTGTACCATTTATTTGCCACCTACTAGGGGCCAGCCAGTACATATCTACAGATACACATTGTATATTAACATAAATTGCATAAATTACTAAGTACCCGCTGTGTGCTAGCCAACCTCTCCACCTCTGCCTGACTGTGCATCCAGCCTGAGTACTCACTGGGTGCCACTGTTCATTAGGTACCTACTGTGTGCCAGGAAACCTTTGGAAATATGCCCCAATATTTGCTGAGCATCTCTGTGTATGACCTTTATAGGACACCTACCGTGTGACAGGATTTATTAAACACATCTTATGTGCCAAAAACCACTCTCTGCTAAACAACTATATACCTACATACACCAGTATCTGCTCCAGGGCTCCTCTGTCCCACACCAATCCATGCAGAAACTCAGAAAGCAAAGGGGCTGGCACAATGGCCTAGGGTCTAATTGCCATTTTGGGCGGACCCACAGTGTTTCGGGTTGCTGGGCGTGAATGGAGCAGGGAAAACATCCACGTTTCGCATGGTGACTGGGAACACACTGCCCAGTGGGGGTGAGGTTGTGCTGACAGGTCAAAGGTGAGGGGAGTCCAGGTGGGGACAGGGTGGGTACTGAAGCCCTTTTTCCTCCTTACCTTCCACTTCCCAGTGTATGGACTGAGCCCACTGCCCCTCACCTGCACAGTCCTTTGAACCCTCTGTACCCCTGCACTCCAGCCAGGCCCTGAGACACCCATGTCCCTTACCGCAGTGGTCCTGGATAGGTGGGCCCTGAGACCACTTTGTCTGCCCCAAGTATCTCCAGGGACTAACCAGTTCTCTGAGCCTTCTGTACCTCATTCCCCAGTGTGGCCCATGAGCCAGCAGCAGCATACCGTAGCATGGGCTATTGCCCTCAGTCAGATGCCATCTTTGAGCTGCTGACTGGCCGTGAGCACCTGGAGCTGTTCGCACGCCTGCGTGGTGTCCCTGAGGCGCTGGTGGCCCAGGTGAGCCTACCACAAACATTGCTTAGCTACACCCCTAAGCCTGATCTATCCCGCGTTCTTTGGCCTGGGCTCCACTCCTGTGCCCCAGCTCCCAGAGGATGTTTCCTTCTCATGCTCGGTCCTGCCACTCTGGCCCACCTCCCAAGCCCAACACTCACCTGAGGCCAGGTTCCACCCCTGCTCACTCTGGCCCTGTCCCACAGACAGTGCACTTGGGCCTGGAGCGCCTGGGTCTCCCACGGTATGCAGACCAGCCTGCAGGCACCTACAGTGGAGGCAACAAACGGAAGCTGGTGACTGCCGTGGCCCTGGTTGGGGACCCACCTGTGGTCTTTCTGGTGCGTGTAGGCAGTGCCTGGGATAAGGTAGGAGCTGGCACAGAGGCCCAACTGGGCTTACAGCAATTACCCTCTTCTCAGGACGAGCCTACCACAGGCATGGACCCCAGTGCACGGCGCTTCCTCTGGAATAGCCTTCTGGCCGTGGTGCGCGAGGGCCGCTCAGTGATGCTCACCTCACATAGGTAAGTCCCCTGCCAGATGCCCAAGGCTGTGGGTCAAGGTGGAGCAGGCCCCAGCAGGAGGCCGTTCAGAGATGGGGGCATTCTGACCCCACCTGGGAAGGTCCTGCCTGACTTGGTGGGGTGAGGGTGCCAGCACCCAGATGTATGGATACTGGGAGATGATATGCAGACTCAGGAACTTCAGAACGGGTTTGGACCCAGTGGGAAACGTTAAGAACAGGAAAGGGTCTTGGCCCTAGAGGGCAGGCAGTGCAATGCCAGGCATAGGTGGCCCGGGCCTCACTGAACCTGTGTGTTCTGGTCCGACAGCATGGAGGAATGTGAAGCGTTGTGCACGCGCCTGGCTATCATGGTAAATGGGCGATTTCGCTGCTTGGGCAGTGTGCAGCACCTCAAGAGCAGGTGAGTGGGGCAAGTGTCAAGGGAAGTGTGGAACAGGTGGGATGAGAGTGGAGATGTAGGTGGGTTTAGGCAAGAGACCAAATGTGGAACCTTGCATGGCGAATTTGGATCTAACTGGAGAGGCGGCCAGGATTATGGATTGTCAGAGAAAAGTCAATGAGGAGTCAGGGCCAAGAGGCCTTGCTGGGGGTGCACGATCAGGAGAAAGACAAGATTCCAAGATGGGCCAGAGGACGTGTGTGGATTTAAAGGGTGTACTCCTGTGTGCATAGCGGTGGAGCAAGGAGAGGGCGAGTGGGAGATGGGAGGAGTTAGACGAGGGCTTGGTGAGTAGGCATGGTCCGAGCAGAACAGCCTTAGGAAGTGTTGGGCGTGGTTAGAGGGCATGTGGGCGTGCCATCGTGCAAAGGGCGGGGCCACACATGCCAAGTAGCGGGGGGGGGGGGGGGGCTGGAATAGGTATACTTGTGGGAACCGAGCCAGAGAACCTAGTAGGGTGGGTGTGGGCAGGGTTAGAAGACTGGTCTTTTGTTCAGTGGAGGTGAGGCCAGAAGAGACGAAGCGGGTGGTTCGTCGGCAGAGGTGTAGGTGGGTGGATGGAACAGAAGAATGAGCTGAGGCAGAACCTAGAGTTGGAGACGGGACCTGGGAAGGCCTTGTCAGGCAATCCTGGCTGCTCACTTCAGATTCGGAGCCGGCTACACACTGACCCTACGGGTTCCGTCGGAGCGGTCCCAACCAGCCATGGACTTCGTGGCGGCAGCATTTCAAGGGTCTGAGCTGCGCGAGGCGCACGGTGGCCACCTGCGTTTCCAGTTGCCACTGGGAGGGCGCTGTTCCTTGGCACACGTCTTTGGAGAGCTAGCAAGGAATGGCGCGGAGCACGGCGTGGAGGACTTCTCCGTGAGCCAGACCACGCTGGAGGAGGTGACTACAAGAGCCCGTGTGATATTGAGAAGTGGGCGTGGGGCCTAGGTTCATGGGCTGACTGCCCCTTCTGTTTCCTCCGGACCACTCACCCGCCAGGTATTCCTGTACTTCTCCAAGGACCAAGGGATGGATGAGGACTATAAGAACAACCAGAAGGAGGCAGGAATGGGAACAGACCCTGTACCAGGCCCACAGTGCCCCAACCGGTTCCTGGATGACCCTAGCATGGACGAGACCATGCTCTGAGCCTCCTTCCATTGCAGGACTAGTGGGAGGTCCTAGGAATGGCAAAAGCAGGCCTCAGGCTGGAGGGAGGAGGCTGCCTTGGAGAAAATAAAGAGAATTCTGGTGAGAAGCTGTGGTGATGAAACCATGTGCATGTGTGTTCATGCACCAGGGTATATGCGTGACTACACGGGTCTGGAAAGGGCCAGTTGTACACTGAGTGTGTGCCCGTGGATTTGTGGACCAAGTAGTGATTCACAGGGTGCAGGTGAACAGTTATAAATGCCCTGGAGAGCTGGGGAGTAGCGGGTGCCAGTAGGGGCTTCCTAAAAGCCTGGTCATGGTTCCTGGGTTCTTGCATACCTACATGGGTCTGGTAAGGGCAGTACCTATGAGGGCCTTCCCATGAAGTAGGGATGAGGTCAGGGCCCAGGAATGCCCTGGATATCTTAGAGGAGCCGTGTGGCCAGAGCACAGGCCTCCTGGTCAGGCCAGAAGCCCACCCACCAGGCAGCCAACCCTCAGCTGCTGATTCTGGCCCTCAGAGCAATGAGCATTGGGCAGAAAGTCCTCAAAGAGCTATTGGGCTGGGCTTGTATTTGGACCCAAGCCTGGAGAGTTGGATGGAGAAATGGGTGCTATGGCCTTGGAGCCCTGCGTCCAGGATATCCCCACCTTCCACCTGAGGTCACTAGAGGAGTTGCGGCTTTTGGATTGGGGGTAAGACTCTAGAGGGGAAAGGAGAGAGCTCTGGGAAAGAGAAAGGGCTCAGACTAGAGGTTGTTGGGGAGAGTGGAAAGGGATTGGGATCTGTACATACCCAGATGTCCCTGCTCACTGGGACCATATGGCCTCTGGTGTGTTACCAGTGCTTCTGTGCCTGAGTCCTGCTGCCTAGCACTCCTGAGAGTTGTGTGTATGTCCCAAGCCCCCATGAAGTCTCTGGAATGTAGGCTGGGGGGAGCTCTGTTGGTGCGGAGCTGTGAGACTTCAAGGCCATTGCCAGGCAGTGACCCGGGTCTGTACTGTCCTGAGCCCTGCCAAGGCCTTGGGATCTGCAGGGCAGGTGACCAGAGAAGTTAGGACAGGGGCTCACCTCCAGGAAAAAGGGGGTCTTCAGGGCAGGCAACTTCAGGCTGGTGTCTGTGTGCTGAGTCTTAAGTGTGAAGTGCAGCATCTTCTGTTTTTTTGAGATGGAGTCTCACTATGTTGCCCTCGGTAGAGTGCTGTGGCATTGCAGCTCACAGCAACCTCAAACTCTTGGGCTTAAGCAATTCCTTGCCTCAGCCTCCAAAGTAGCTGGGACTATAAGTGCCCACCACATTGCCTGGCTATATTTTGTTTCAGTTGTCATTGTTGTTTGGCTGGCCCAGGCTGGGTTCGAATTCGCCAGCCTCAGTGTATGTAACCACTGTACTATGGGCGCCAAGCCACATCTTCTGTTTCATCTGTGGAGCTGAGCACGTGTGCAAGGCCATGTCCCTGCATGTCAGCATGCTTATGCTCCTTGTCTTGACTAGGAGCACTCATGTTCCTTTGCTCCTAGTCATGACTGGGCATGTCCAACTGAGGGACAATATCCCTGTAGTTGACTGCGCAGTGCCCGCTGAGGGCGCCAATGCCAGGCAAGGGCACCCCATTCAATACCCGCAGGGGCACAGAGCTTCTTGAAAGCGGAAGTGGGGGGTGGGGCCAAGGTTGGAGACAGGGCCTGCAACTGCATCTTTGCGCCCACTCTGCGGAGCTGCAGGCTGAGGCTGGAAGGGGTGGGGGGGCAAGTCTGCGGCACTGCCTTCTGAAGCCTTTTCCTGTGGGGGAGAGGGCCAGCCAATTAGGGCAGGGCCTGTCACGTGGGCCTGACAGCTGGGGAGGGGGTGGCTGGAGACAATGTGGCCCCAAGGCAGCGAGCACCAGGACCTGCAGTACTGAGACCCCCGGCCTGCCCAATAGAAGCCCTCACCCATCAGATAACAAGGACGCAGCTCCACCATGTTCTCCAGGAAGAAACGGGAGCTCATGAAAACCCCTTCTATCTCGAAAAAGAACCGGGCAGGAAGTCCCAGCCCACTGCCCTTGGGGGTGAGTAGAGCCTCTGCAGGGAGCTGGGAGGGACCAGCTACTGATATCCCAGTCTACAGGGGGATAGGGACGTGCCCTCTGCTCAGGGCCCAGTGGGGCCTGGGCCAACAGCACCATGCTGGGAAGGTGGGGGGCCCACACCAGCTACAGCCCCTACCGGGCAGGACAGCAGGGGCCACAGAGGATAGAACAGGACTTTGGTGTTCGCTTCACGGTAGGGACACTTTGAGAGTGGCCACCACATTCCCAGGGCCAGTTGTGGGGCCCAGAGAGTGGGAAGGAAGTGTGTGTGACCAGGAAGGGTGTGCCTGGGGAGTGGGCAATATTGGGTTTGGGATGCTGCAGGATGAGGGCTCAGGAAACCTACAGGCTCTACAGGCTCTGGAAAACTTTGAGAAGTGGGAGGGCTATAGCCTGGCCACTGGACTGAAGCAACAGGCCCTATAAAAGGATCCACTGGGTCCAGGGGTCTGGAGGTGTTTTTCTACAAGGTCCAGGAGTATCTATGATACTTAGGGGTCTATAGGACCCTTAGGGTATAGGAATCATCAGAGGTATCTTTACTGGAAAGTAGGTGAATCTGCTGGAGCCTGGGTGGGGGCCAACGGCCATGGACCCTCTCCAGACCTTCCCCACCCCCACCAGGAAGTGGGGTTCTCCGCCCCCATGCTCCCCACAGTCCCCGCCCCTGGCTGTGGTTTGGGCAGGACCGTTGTTTGTGAAAGCTCTAGGGAAAAGGATGTTGGGTAACAGATGTGTGTGGGGGGGTACTGTTCCAAATCTCAGCCCTGTGATGTCTGGCCTTTGACCCCTTTGGAGTCAGGCTGAAGGTCCTCCAGTCCAAGTTGGAGCACCACTTTTACCCAGTCCTCCCCCCCAAGGAGCTGCCCAGGAAAGAAGGGGCTGAAGCTGTGTTATCTCCACCAAGCTTGGAGCCACCATCTGCATCCTCCGGTGTCAAGGCCACAGGCACACTGAAGCGACCCACCAGCCTGAGCCGCCATGCCAGTGCAGCTGGCTTCCCACTGTCTGGTGCTACCTCCTGGACACTAGGCCGGGGCCACCGAAGTCCTCTGGCAGCCTTCAGCCCCAGCGAGCTACCTACGGAGGGTCCCTGCCCTGATGCTATTGAGGACATCTCCCACCTGCTGGCTGATGTGGCCCGTTTTGCTGAGGGCCTAGAGAAACTCAAGGAGTGTGTGTTGCGTGATGGTGAGAGCCAGCAGGGACACAAGCAGAGTGGACACAGATCTCTCTAACCCTGAAGCATCAAGAAAGGATGGAGGGAAGGACTTAGAAAGGCTCAGATGAGGATTGCAGGGAGAGCTATCTAGAAGAGGCCAGGACAGCTAAAGCTCTGAGGAACATGTAGAAGTTCGGTGTCATCTAGGAGAGAACAGCAGAGGGAATATCTTGTGCACAGACTCAAACACAGGGAGATGAAGAATGCATTAGGGGGGCAAGGTGTGGGATGCAACTGGTTGTTTGAGGTGTGTGAGGATGAAGGCATGAGAACACCAAGCAGGGAATCCTGGCATTATCCTGAGGGGTGTGGGGAGCTACAGAAAGTGTTAGAGTAGGATAGATGTGGTCAGACCTATGTTTTGGGATGATATGGACTGGAGGTTGGCTGAGGTCTGGGAAGAGAGAGATTCGAAAGGGACAAAAGCCTGGTCACAGATATCAAACTGCTAGAGATACTAGGAGTGAGTAGCTGGTGGAATGGCAGTTCCGTTTTCTCCTTCATGGGGCTGCTGACAGCCCAGCTTCCTGTCGCGTTATTTTCATCTGCTTCCTGTTTGTCCTTGGCAGCCTGTAGGCACCTCCTGTGCTGCGTCCAGCACCTATCAGCTGCTCCCAGAAACCACAGTGCCCAGGTTGTGCCAAATGCTCTGGCCTACCCTCCTACCCCGCTGCCTGTTTTACAGATGATGAAACCAAGTCTCTAGCAAGGCCTTGAACCCTAGTCACCCAACACCCAGCAGTAGCTGGGGTTCAATCTCAGCCTGCAGAGAAGCCTCTGTGCCTTTGGGAGCTGTGCATTAAGGGGGGGCTCTGCAGCAGGGGTGGGAGCCCTTGAGGTTATCTGGTCCCAAGGGCTGGGGCTAGGTAGGTTTCCTGGGGAAACTCTCTAATCTCTATTCCTTTCCCATCCTGATCCTTCCTTGGAGGTCTGGCCTGGGCGGGTCTCAGCCAGCTGGCATCTTACTGAGGGACTGGGCCAGGCATCCCTCCCTACACCTCAAGGGCAGCCCGCCCCCGAGGCTATGGGCCTAGATGCTACCATGTTCCCTGAGAGACCCTGGGAGGGCCCCTTCTCGCTCTAGACCTCAAGTGATTTGGTCACCCCACTTGAGAGGTTGCTGAGACTGTAACTAAATGTCCTCAGCATACTGTCATTGTTGTGGGACTCAGCCAGCCGTCCCCACCTGGATTATACTGCCTCAGGTCTAAACTCTTGTGCGACATATGAGGGGAGCCAAGGACTCTGGGTGAAGGCCGGGGGCAGGGTGTGGTTTTCCTCTCTGGAGGCAGGGCTTGTGGACCAGCTTGAGCTGGTTTGGCCACTTGCCAGCAACCAGAGGGGGAAGCCCCCCAACAATCAGACATCTCACCCCTGGGGTCATGGTCTCTGCGCCCTGACAGCAGCCAGGCCATGTGTATCTGCGAGAGGATGCATCCAGGAGGAGGGCCCCCTGCGCTGCACAAGGAAATTGAGGCACAGAGAGGGGAACCCAAGGTGTGGGGTGCGGCGTCACCCAGCCTGGCCAGAAGCATGTGGCATCAGGGACATTTTCAGTCTGGGACATTTTGCTAGCTGCCAGCTGGGGAGGCTGCAGCTGCCCCACGATTGCCTTAGCCCTGCCAAGCTGGGCATCTCAGGGCTTCGTGGGGGGAGTCCTGCCTAGAGTCAGCTTCCCCTGTGGAGAGGTGCGGCAAGGACCTTGGTGGCCAAGACCCTGGTGGTAAAGGTAGCCTGACCCTTCCCTAGCCAGCTTCTCCAGATTTCTGAAGCCCCTTCCCACCTCCTTGAGTTGCCTGGATGCAGTCAGCATAAATGTGCTCTAGCACTGGAGAAAGGAGGCAGGAGGAACCATTGGTGGGTGACTTGCTATTCTTTCCCCAGAGGTGGCATTCAGAGGGTAGTCCTCAAAAAGTGCTAAAAAAAGGATGAGAGACTTACTTTCAGATTTTAGTTCTTTGAGCACCCTCTTCATAGTCACAGGGTGAGGTGTCAAATCTATCCAGCTAGTCACCAAGCTCACTCCAGTTCTGTGTCTCAGGATTCTTTCACCTTGGCAGCACTGGTGGATGTTCTACCTCTTTCTTTCTTTCTTTCTTTCTTTCTTTCTTTCTTTCTTTCTTTCTTTCTTTCTTATTTCTTCCAATTGAGAACATTTCAGTAGGGCATTTAAAGCCACATTCCAACATGCTGACCATGACTCTCCTCTCCTCTAACATCTTCTGTGGCTCCCTATTGCCCTAGAGATAAAGCTAGGCCAGACAGGGCCTTCTGTCTGGTATTCTCATACCTTTAGAAGTAATGGGAAAGTTGTGTGCTTGTTGAGAAATGACTTCCCCTCTCTGTGTCTCACAGTTTCCTTGTGCAAAATGAGAAGGATGATAGGACCTATCTCCTGGGATAGCTGCCAGAAGAGAGTGAGATGATGGGATTGCTTGGGCCCAGTGCAAAGGTAGGCAGAGCAGGGATAGGGCTGGACAGGATTTTAAAAACTCCTAACAGTCTAGGGCAAGAAAAAGGCCAGGTGGACTGTATGGAGAAAGGGGCCCTCAGTATAACTTGAAGGATAAGCAGGAGTCTGCTTTCTGGAGGGACAGGAAGAAGAGTGTTCTGAGCAGAAGGGACTGTAGGGCAGGGGACAGTGCCCTACATGAAGTCTCATAGTGAGCCCTGGACTCCTGTCATCTCCCACTTTTGCTTTGATTTCCCTATATGGGGACAGCAGATCTGAGGAGGAGGGAGCAGGAAGATAGATTTTCACTAGGACCAGGTCCTTACTCCCCTACTCATACTGACTCTGCCCAGCAGACCTCCTTGAGGCCCGCCGGCCGTTGGCCCATGAATGCCTGGGTGAGTCATTACGTGTAATGCGCCAGATCATCTCCAAGTACCCGCTGCTGAACACTGTGGAGACACTCACAGCTGCTGGCACCCTCATTGCCAAGATCAAAGGTCAGCCAACTGGGACAGGGCAGCAAGGGCTTTCTACCTGGGAGGGTTTCCTAGAGGAGGGGCTATGTGAAGTGAGTTTTGAAGGATGCATAGGAGTTTGACAGGCACACTGGTTCCCCGAAGATCTCCCTGGGCTAAGGGCTCCCATTAATTAATCTCAGAGATGGCAACCTCTTTGTCCTTGTCTCTGCCTCCTAGCCTTCCATTATGAGTGCAATAATGAGTCGGACAAGAGGGAGTTTGAGAAGGCCCTGGAGACAATCGCTGTGTCCTTTAGTAGCACGTGAGTGCAGAAGCCTGAGGTTCATGGTGGGGAAATGTGGGGGCTCCTTTATCTTTTGATGCTGACACCCCAGCCTTACAGTGTGTCCGAATTCCTCATGGGTGAAGTGGATAGCAGCACCCTCCTGGCAGTACCTCCTGGGGACCCTAGCCAGGTGAGTAAGGGGCACAAGGTCCTCCCTATGTCCAGGTGCTAGATGCTGCAGGGGTGCAGGTCTGCAGGGCATGTCAAGTCACCCTTGCATGCAGGGCAAGGAAGTCACTCAGTCTTCCTCTCTGTCAAGGGGGCACGATCATCCCTTGCAGGGTGGGACTCCAGCAGGGACTGGCATGAGGCTGGTCTCACCCATGTCTCCCTCCTACACAGTCCATGGAGAACCTGTATGGATCAGGCAATGAGGGCACCCCTCTCAGCACTGAGGACTGTGACATGGGTGAGTTGCCACTAAGTGGCAGGCAGGCAGGCCCTTGAATGGTAGGTTGGGTGGTGGAGGGCCAGGCTGAAGCTGAGCCATCATCCCTGCAGGCTGCCTGCCTCCAGAGGAGGTAGACCTGCTGCTACAGCGCTGTGAGGGTGGTGTGGATGCTGCCCTGCAGTATGCCAAGAACATGGCCAAGTACATGAAGGACCTCATAGGCTACCTGGAGAAGCGGACCACCCTGGGTAAGAATTGGGTTCCAATGGGTGGATTAGGGCCTATCAGGTAAGAGTTCTGGGTGAGGTGGGTTTGGCAATCTTCCCCTGCACCTCACACCCCTCCCTGAACTGCAGAGATGGAGTTTGCCAAAGGCCTGCAGAAGATCGTGCATAACTGCAGACAGAGCGTTATGCAGGAGGTAGTGACCAGACAGCAGTGGCCAGGGGTTCCTTGGGCCTGGGTGTGAGCAGTGGCCAGGGATCCCTGCAAGGGGCTTGGGGGTCTTGAGAGCAGGGACTTCCTCTCTATACTATGGGGCTAAAAGTGGGTGGCTGGGTGGCTGAAGGGCCAAGGGAAGTGGCAGACTTGGGATGCTGGGCTGCCCCATCCCTATTTCTCCCCACTTCAGTGACTACCCCTCCCCTACTCCACAGCCCCACATGCCTCTCTTGTCCATCTACTCACTGGCCCTGGAACAGGACCTGGAGTTTGGGCATGGCATGGTGCAGGCAGTAGGCACCCTGCAGACCCAGACATTCATGCAGGTGGGCTACACCTGGGTGACTGGTTTGCGCCTAGGTGGGTGGGATGGATGGGAGTGGTGCCAGGGTCCCCACTCACAGCCCATCTCACCCCAGCCCCTGACCCTGCGGAGGCTTGAGCATGAGAAGCGCAGGAAAGAGATCAAAGAATCCTGGCACCGCGCCCAGAGGAAGCTGGTAGGTCTGGTGGGCGGGGGCAGGCAGGGTGGGGCAGCTGGCCCAGTGCAGGCAGAGCTATCTGTGTGTGCATGGGGTTGGCTGTTATTGCAAGGAACAAGTCTCCAGGTTGGAAAGAAACTGAGGCCTCCTCTCTTATGTCTAGTGGATGCTCTAAGTTCCTGTGTATTATCCTTTTCCCACTTCTCTTTTGGGTTGTTGCAAACATACCACCATCTTGTTTGCTTTTTTGTTATGTTATCATGGTCTGTGGTGAAAAGCACCCTCCTAGGACCTTTGGCAAACGCCAGCAAATACACATAGTCCACTTTTGTGCGTTTGGTGTCAGCCTTTATACTGTGTTCTGTTCCCAGTGTTATACTTGCTCCATACCAAGAGCCTTGCTTGCTTCACATTTGTCCCCAAGACGTACCCTTGCCCTCATTTGTCAGCTGCACAGTCCTCAGCTGAGTGGAGGTTATGTAGTGGTCTATTTCACTAACTCTATTGATGGACATTCTGGCTGTTGCTGACCTATTGCTATTATAGGCACGATTGCTATGACAAACTTTTGCCCCATCTTAAGGACATTTGAGGATTTATCTTGAATCAGTGCCCAAAAGGGAATGGCTCCATCAAGGGTGTGAGTGTTCCAGCTGCTCTCCCATGCTGCAGCAGTGCTTTTCTTCCTTTGTGATCTCTCTGTTCCTCTCTTTTGTGCACTTTGGATTGGACAGTAGTTTATTTTTTGTTGATTTTCCAGAGCTCTTTACATACAGGAGAACACCCTTAATGATAAGTTATGGACTCACCCCCCCAATCCTTGTGTTTATTGTTTGACTCTTGATTTTACCCATGGCCTATTTTGCCAGGTAGAAACCTGTGATTGTTAGTGGCAGTTTATTGTTAGTGGCAGCCTTTTCTGTTATGGTCTCTGAGTTTTATGTCACTCAGCAAAAAGTCTTCCCCACACTGGGGTTATTTTTCCTAGTTTCTCCTAGTACCTGTATTGGTTCTTTCTTTATGTTTGAGTGTCTGATGGTATAGGCCAGGCGTCCTCAAACTACGGCCTGCGGGCCATATGCAGCCCGCCTAGGACATTTATCCAGCCCGCTGGGTGTTTTTGCCGCGGCTGCCTATCCTGCTTAGCAGCCGACTCATCCCGGGGCCTGCAGTCCGGCCGTTCAACAGTCTGAGGGATAGTGAACTGGCCCCCTGTTTAAAAAGTTTGAGGACTCCTGGAGTAGGCTGTAGAGGTGCAGCTCTCCTGAAGGCCTACTGGTTTTTGACTAACTGCTCTTCCTGCCAACCCTGAGGGTGCTTGACTTCCTGCCTATGCGGCCTCTCTGTGTTCATCTGTGAGAAGGGAAGTGAAAGAGACAGAGGCTGGAGACACCAGGCTGCTCCTGTGAGGGGTTGGTATAGGTGTTGGTAGATGACACAGTTTGTGTCTCTTGTGCTTCAGCTTCCTGGGCTGTAAAATGGGTCCTACTGCAGAGGCCAACTCCTGTTCTGCTGCTGCCCCCTGTTCCTCTGCTTGCCCATCTGTGCTGAGAGTTCCTAGTGAGAGAGATGGAAGTGGGAAGAAGGGAGGGAGGAGGCTGGGAGACAGTGTCCATTTGGGGGCCAGGGTCAGACCAGGCTCCATACCGCACACCCACAGCAAGAGGCAGAGTCCAACCTCCGCAAGGCCAAGCAGGGCTACATTCAGCGCTGTGAGGACCATGACAAGGCCCGCTTCCTCGTGGCCAAGGCTGAGGAGGAACAGGCAGCCACTGGACCTGGGGCTGGCAGTGCAGCCTCCAAGAACCTGGATAAACGGCGGCGGCTGGAGGAGGAAGCCAAGAACAAGGTGAGGCTAACAGGAAGGTGACATAGGGGATCCTGGAGGAGAAGACTGAGGTGGCCTTTCTTGAGGCAATGTGTGAAATTTCCTACTTCTAGGCCTTTGCCAGGCTATGCATCCTCCCTAGAGGGCCCTTCCCACCCTGCCCTGCCTGGCTTGTCCCTGGGACTTCTGAATTAGGCCTGGCAATGCCCTAAGGGCTGAGCCCCTGGCTGAAGGCTTCGTGTGCCCCACACCCTTCCCCAGGCAGAGGAGGCCATGGCCACCTATCGCACATGTGTGGCAGATGCTAAGACACAGAAGCAGGAGCTGGAAGACACCAAGGTGACAGCATTGCGGCAGATCCAGGAGGTCATCCGACAGAGTGATCAGACAATCAAGTCGGTGTGTGCCAGGTTCCAACCACCAGGATGGGGGCAACTACTGGTCCAGCCTCCTGACTTTGCTGACCTCATGTACTGCCCACAGGCCACCATCTCCTACTACCAGATGATGCACATGCAGACAGCCCCACTGCCAGTACACTTCCAGATGCTGTGCGAAAGCAGCAAGCTGTATGACCCAGGCCAGCAGTATGCCTCCCACGTGCGCCAGCTGCAGCGCGGGGAGGAACCTGATGTGCACTACGACTTTGAGCCCCATGTTTCCACCAATTCCTGGTACTCTGCTGCCTGCCCACCTGGTCCCTAGTGTACATATCCACGTCTGGGAGAGCTGGGCTTCTCACTTATCACCAGGAGGGCTTGAGGACTCTATGCCTCCCCACCAGGCCCCATCCTCCTCACTGTCCCTCCCAACAGGTCCCCGGTCATGCGTGCCCGGAAGGGCAGCTTTAACACTGGTGATGCTGCAGGAGCAGATACCACCAGCAGTCCCCTAGAGGAAGGTGGCTCCCATGAGGAGGCACTTTCCAAAGAACACAGGGGTAAGTGTCCAGTGGGCTCGTGGAGCAGGCACTGGCTCCCTGAGGCCTCCCAGAGCCCTTTATTACAGATGCCTCCCTCCTCAGGTGGGAGAGGACACCAGGTACATAAGTCATGGCCGATCTCGATTTCTGACTCAGTTGGCAGTCTGGACCCTGGCACTGGCTCAGGTGAGGAGCCTGCTGGGTGGGCTGGGGCAGGGGAGTCTCAGTGGGCTCATCATGCACTGGGAGTCCTAAAGGGTTCCACACGGGCCCCGTGGCCTCCCTCCTGGCTTGGAGTGTCTGACAGCCCTGTTTCCTGCTCAGGGGACTTTAAGAAGTTTGAGCGAACATCATCCAGTGGCACCATGTCCTCCAGTGAGGAGCTGGCGGACCAGGAGAGTAGTGCAGGAGCTTCAGCCTTTGAGCAGGGTAAGCATCCCAACTGGGCTGTCGGGAGAAGGGAGGTTTGGACATAGTCTATGGGCCCTGACCTGCCTAGGTAATACCATCTACCCATCTTGCCCTCAGATGACCTCAATGGCATGGCCCCTGAACTGCCAGCTATGCCCAGTGGGCCCTTCCGTAACGTGGGGCTGTCCAAGGCTGCCCGCACCCACCGGCTCCGGAAGCTCCGCACACCAGCCAAGTGCCGGGAGTGCAACAGCTATGTCTACTTCCAGGGTGCTGAGTGTGAGGAGGTGAGTAGGATCTCCATGGATGGCCAATGTCTTTGGGGTGCCAGGCATACAGATGGCCTGTGTGCCTCAGGAGGTTCTGGCCCAGAACAGGGAATGGTGGGTATATAGCTATTTGTAAGGAAGTATAGGGAGGCAGTGGGGTGGGCTCTTTCAGGTTTGAGGGGCAGGGTGGGCTCTCTAAGGAACAGAGGCTTGGGAGAGATCTGGAGGGTAAAGAGTACCCCAAGAGCATCCAGGGTAGAACATTCCAGGAGGAGGGCACAGCCAGTGCAAAGGCTCTGGGCTGCTACAGGAAACCCAAGGGGTGGGAAGAAGAGGAGGCTGAGTGGTAGACAGGAGCCTTCTGTGGGGTGGAAGAAGCTGCCTGGTGGGAGGGGGGCTCTGATGGGCAGGAGGGGGATGTCAGTGCTTGTTGGGAGTGGGGCATGGTCTGTGCTTGTTGGGTGTGGGGCATGGTCTGTGCTTGTTGGGTGTGGGGCATGGTCTGGGGCTCACTCCACACCTGCCCCAGTGCTGCTTGGCCTGCCACAAGAAGTGTCTGGAGACCCTGGCCATCCAGTGCGGCCACAAGAAGCTGCAAGGCCGGCTTCAACTCTTCGGTCAGGACTTTGGCCAGGCGGCCCGCGGCACCCCTGATGGCGTGCCCTTCATTATCAAGAAGTGCGTCTGCGAGATCGAGCAGCGGGCACTTCGCACAAAGGTGAGGCAGGACGCAGAGGGGGCGAGTCATGGGTGGCCTGGGCAGGAAGGTGAGCGTGGGCTAAGGCTGGTTGGGTCCCCAGGGCATCTACCGGGTCAACGGGGTAAAGACGCGTGTGGAGAAACTGTGCCAGGCCTTTGAGAACGGGAAAGAGCTGGTGGAGTTATCACAGGCCTCGCCCCATGACATCAGCAATGTCCTCAAGCTCTACCTGCGCCAGGTGAGACCACTGAAGGTGGATAGGGCAGAAGCCGAATCTAGCGCCTAGAAGAGGCATGGTTGGTCAAGGCAGGTGTGACACGCAGGTGGGCGGGACAGCACTGGGCAAGGGGGGGCGCTGGGGCATCGCCTGGGCCTGAGCAGGCCTAATGTTGGGTGTGGGGTGGGGCCAGCTCCCGCCACGTGTCAGAGCAGGGCAGAGGCGGGGCTGAGCCTAAGGGCGTGGTCATGGCAGATTGTGGGCCAGTACTGTGTGCGGGCCCAGAAACACACTGCTGGGTGGGTCCCCACAGTTTGGTGGGGCGTGGCCATAGCTTAGAGCCGAGGTCTGAGGCTACTGCAAGACCCTGGTAGAGGCGGGGTGAAACGAGGGGCATGGCTTCGGCTGGGCTATGGAGGGGCTAGGAGCGTGGCCACTTGGCCCTGGAGACGGTAACGGTAGGTAGGTATGCTGGGCTGGGTTAGACCTACCAGATACTGGTGTCAATCCTCTGGTCTGCAGCTGCCGGAGCCACTCATCTCCTTCCGCCTCTACCACGAGCTCATGGGGCTGGCCAAGGACAGCCTGAAGACAGAGGCCGAAGCCAAAGCGAGTTCCCGGGCCCGGCAGGATGCCTCTGAGAATAAGGCTCAGGCATCGGCAGTGACTATGGCAGGCCGGCTGCGGGAGCTTCTGCGGGACCTGTCGCCTGAGAACAGGGCCACGCTGCAGTACCTGCTGCGGCACCTACGCAAGTAAGGGCAGGGGCAGGGGCAGGGAGACATGGTGGTAGGGAGGTGGGGTAAGGCGAGGGAGTCCTGGGGGACACTCAGGCATCCTCTCGCTCTCCTGTGCCTCCAGGATCGTGGAGGTGGAACAGGACAACAAGATGACCCCCGGGAATCTGGGCATCGTGTTTGGGCCCACCCTGCTGCGGCCGCGACCCACCGAGGCAACTGTTTCCCTCTCCTCACTGGTAGATTACCCCCACCAAGCCCGCATCATTGAGACCCTCATCATCCACTATGGCCTGATCTTTGAGGATGAACCAGAGGAGGCACCTGAAAGCCAGGTGCGGGCATGGATCTGACCAGGGCATCCACATGGGTGACAGGGAGTGCTATGGGATCAGTGGTGGTGGAAAGATTCACCAATAATGATGGAGAGAGGATTGGTTTGGACAGATCCAATGTGGTGCCTTCCAAGCGAAGAATTGGGTGATGTGTGCATTGGAGTCTGAGGGTGAGCCCCTAGGGGTTCAAACATCCTGTGGCTGCCCCTCTGCTCTCAAGAGGTCGTATCAGACCTCTTCATCTACCACTCCTTCTGTCACTGCACCCAGCTCCCAGGTTTCAATTTCTTTTTTTTCTTTTCTTTTCTTTTTCTTCTTTTCTTTTCTTTTCTTTCACTATCTTGCCCTCAGTACAGTGCTGTGCTGTCACAGCTCACAGCAGCCTCAAACTCTTGGGCTTAAGCAATTCTCTTGCCTCTGCCTCCCAAGTAGCTGGGACTACAGGCGCCCACCACAATGCCCCGCTATTTTTTGTTTGTTTTTAGAGACAGAGTCTCGCTTTGTGGCCCTCAGTAAAGTGCTGTGGCGTCACAGCTCACAGCAACCTCCAACTCCTGGGCTTAGGTGATTCTCTTGCCTCAGCCTCCTGAGTAGCTGGGACTACAGGGGCCCACCATAATGCCTGGCTATTTTTTTGTTGTTGTTGCAGTTTGGCCAGGGCTGGGTTTGAACCCTCTACCCTCAATATATGGGGCCAGCGCCCTACTCACTGAGCCACAGGTGCCGCCCCATGCCCTGCTACTTTTTTGTTGCAGTTGTCATTGTTGTTTAGCTGGCCCTGGGCCAGGTTCAAACCCTCCAGGCTGGATGTATGTGGCCAGCGCCCTGCCCACTGAGCTATGGGTGTCATCCCAGGTTTCAATTTCACCACAAGTTTTCACTTCTAGGTATTCTTTTTTTTTTTTTTTTGAGACAGAGTCTCAAGTTATTGCCCTGGGTAGAGTGCCATGTCGTCATAGTTCACAGCAACTCCAACTCTTGGGCTTAAGTGATCCTCTTGCCTCAGTTTTTCTATTTTAGTAGAGACGTGGGTCTCGATTTTGCTCAGGCTGGTTTCGGACTTGTGAGCTCAAGCTATCCACCCACATCAGCCTCCCAGAGGGCTAGGATTATCTGCTGCTGCTGCTAGATGAGCTCTGAGGCCCCAGAGTTGGGTAGAGGGTGGTGGTGGCTCTATTTCCTGATAAGAGCCCACTGTCAGGGGCATAGGAATGTTTGGTCCAGTCACAACCTCAGCAACAGTGGTATAACTTAGGGTTTTGTTTGTTTATTTATAAGACCTAAGATGAAGCAGTAGCCCTGCCCTGACTTGTGTTTTGCCCCTGCAGGGTAGGTCATCCAACCAGCAGACAGAAGTGGTTGTCCCGGTACCATATCTGGAGGCCAGCAAGGGGGTTGCCTACCCCCTGCAGGAGGAGACGGAGGATGGGGGACAAGGTGAGTGTGTGTGGTCGGTTACTGCTTGGTTCTGGGGGAGGCCAGGATGCATTCCTGGTGCCTGGTGACACAGTGTTATGTGCACACAACAACCAGTTCACATCTCAGTGCCTGGAAACTACATTCTGTGGATTTTTGACTGCTATGAAGACCACATTTGTTGAATATTCATTCTTTTTCCTTTAATCTGTTGCAAACACAAGCAAAGCAATGCTTTTTTTTTTTTTTTTTTTTTT